ATTGGTGGTACCATCATCCTCTTCGTGATATCTACTCGACTAACTCTTGTAAGTGGCGAAAGATCGGCCTGGCGTAGTCCTGTCGTGGTTTATGCTGGCAGGCAGTGTTAGAATATCATTTGCTCAGGAGTTTCCTTACTCGAAATACAAGTTTACATACAAACTTGTGTAGAAGTGTACGGAAACCAATGAGAATTTCCAGAAATTCCCTCAGAATTTTGATATTCTCCCCCTACACTGTGGTGGTCCGATTCAGATGATGCTGTCGGTGATTCCGCTAGCGGCCATCGCTACTATGGTATACGCCAAATTTGTAGAGCAGCTGTCGAAAGACTACCAGAAGGAGCTGGCCTCGTCCACTGAAGTAGCGAGTGAAGCTCTGAGTAACATTCGCGTTGTGAAGACGTTCCCTCGAGGGGAGGCTAAGGCCGAGACTCGGTACCACACCTTTGACGAATCATCTCAAGGCTGTGTACAGGTACTCCCATCATATAGATAGGAGCTATGCTATCGGGGTTAAGAAGTCGTTTGGTCTAGGAGGCTTCGGCTGGGTGGTGGGTATTATGATATATGTGTCGATGACAGGCGTGGTGTGGTATGGTGCTGGCCTGGTCCTCAGTGGAGACATGCTCCCTGGTCAAACTACTACCATAAGGCTGTTTGTGTGTATCCTCATCAGGTACGCTCATGGCGTTCCTATTCTACAGCGTAGGCAGTATCGGAGGATCTGTGGCGGGCCTATCGGAGGTGGTCTCCAAACTAGCCGAGACGATGGGTGCTACAGCCAAGGTCTTCGAGTATATGGACAGAGAACCACAACAGGTGGTCGAGGTGTGTTCCACAACGAGAAGTCGTATCACCATCATTTCAAGCAGGTCTCTGAGGAGGCTGACTATGAGCCGATTATATGCTCTGGTCGCCTCTCCTTTACCGAGGTTCGTTTCCACTACCCGAGTAGAGCGGATATCGAAGTGCTCAAAGGTGTGACCTTCAGCGTGGAGCCAGGCCAGGTGATTCCTTCAGCTGTTGATAGAGCCAATCTGTGGAGCCTTGTGGTAGACAATGGCTCTGGTTGGCCGCAGTGGAGTTGGCAAATCGACATGCATCTCCCTTATACTGCGTTTTTATGACCCTACGGCTGGGATGATCGCGGTGGATGGGAGGAGTTTGGCGACGCTTAAGGACGACTGTTTGAGGAGGAACATCTCTCTCGTGGCGCAGGTGAATAAGTGCGGTGTCTGGGGATCGAACCTGCGACCTATTAGGAACCCGTGCTCTTCTCAACGTCCATCATGGATAACATTAAATACGGCACGGATGGAGATGTCACTCGCGAGGAGGTGAGGGTCACCCGTTCATAGCA